TGGACCCAGCTTTGTTTACGTTTACACCTTCATAGGCTAGAAATAATCGACAATAGGGGAAAAAATATCAAGGAAAAGGCAGAATATATTGGTGCAAATGATATATTTAGAAATGACGTGGGTTATTGACCAAGGGTAAGGTCACGATGTCTGCAAAAGAACTTACAAAAAAAACAGACCTATACTCAGTCATTTTGACTATACAATTTTGGTCAATGAAGGATTCAGCAGAAAGCATAAGGAACAGCCTTTTTCTCGAGGGACAAAGTTGTCAAGATAGCGCCATCTTGCCCGCTCGGGTAGCGAATCACCGCCTAGGTTAAAAAAAAGAAAACAATTGATTTAAACACTAAACAATAACAAGCATGGATTAGGGAAATGTAATACAGTATTGCAAATAAGTAATCCAAGCGAAATGCGTGAATCTCGGTCTATCTTTGCTCACTCTCGGAGCAGGCCATATGATAAAAATAGCGCTGACTTTTCTTGCATACGTACCAAGAGACGAGATTATCGTCTCTTGTGTCTCTTGTGCGTACCACATGTATCTGTGGACCCCGCCACGTGACGCCAAATGCAAAACATTTTAATGACTGTTAGCAATGGCTTGCAGGGCTGCAAGTACTGCCACGACAAGTTTCAGCGTGATTACGGACCCTGGACCGCGTTTCGCACACTGGATTATGGGTACACTAGAGTACAAGTCTTCAACAGTAGTCACTTGTACCTTGAACAAGTCAGCATTGATCAGGTCAGCGGAACATGCATGCATAAATTACTATCGTCTCAACATATGATAGGTCTGCTTGGCAAAGATTCTATGAGCGGAAGTTTCTGGAGAACTTTTTATCATAAATTACACGCTTGAAAGCCTCCTCGTAACCACTTTGGGCAACAAGTGCACACATGTGTAACAAATGGTCGTTTGAGTTGTTTTTAACTGAGTGTCGTAAAACCAAACCCAAACCAATTACTTACTCAACTGAAAACCCCTGTAAGTTGCCCAAAGAGTT